ACCCTAAACCCTAAACCCCAAAGTTGCGAAAGCCCAGTCTCTCGGAGAATTTGCGTCGGTGGCTCGTGACTCTTTCGGCCGTACCCTTCCCGGCAATCATAGATCCCGAATACTCCCCGCTTGTGGTCATATATATATATATATTATCTGTATAGATTCATCCTTTCATGTACTCCAAACTCATGTTCGACACAAAAGACCACTATGATTTTTGGCCGTCCTGAATGTTTGACCTCCCAAACCCATGCAGTGCTCCGCAGGCTTGAACAAGCTGAAGCTCTCTGGGGATGCGCAGTCACAGGAGAGGGATCAGAGTTTAAACCCTAAGCCCTAAACCCCTTAACCCTGTAGCGCGTCGGCGTTTTACGGATTGGCGTTTTTCTGGGTGTTAGGGCTTTGGGTTCGAGGACTGTAGGGTGCCCAGGGATTTTAGGCGTTTGGTGTCTCCTGAGTCTCTTGGATACTTAAGAACCACTATTCTTTAGAGCTCTTGGTTGTAACTGTACTATAGCATTCCGCATACCCCAAAACCCTTGCCTAGGGCCCCTATTTTACAGTAAGGTTTCAGTGATCTGCGGCTGAGGGACTTTGGGGCTTCAAGGTGTAGTGTAGGCTTTGGGTTTCAGCGCTTAAAGACCTCTAAGCCCTAAGCCCTAAACTGTTTAAGGTCTTACCTGGACCCTAAAGAACCTACCCATTTTAGGGTTCCATACTACGATTTCTGTTTATAAGTCCTTAAAAAGGTAGGTTATTTGGGGTTAAGGTAGGGTTCAAAACTCTATAGGAATTGCGGGTTTAGGGTGGCAGGTCTCAGACTCTCAGGGGTTTTAGAGCTTCAGGATGTTAGGCCCTTAGTCAGGGCCTAGGGTTGCGAAGATTTTTTGAGTTTGTGGTTTATGGTTCAGGGAGTACAATGTCGGGTTTAAGCGGTTTAAGTCTTCAAAGTTCGGTTAGAATTTGCATGCCGGTTGGGGGTCCCTGATTTCGGGTCCTTTTTTCGCCAGAATCCGGCTATTCAGTGTCTCTTTTAGTGTCCCGTGTTTTCTGAAACTCCCATTTGAGAGTCTGAGCTCAACGTTCCTCTGCTGCCTGTATCCCACAGCCTCGCTTCAAACTACTTCGAGTTTCTGGGGACTAAGCAGGTAGGCTTACAAGCAAGGTAATTGTAGTTTTATCTACCTATAACCCTGGGGTCCGCAGCCCCATTTTTGCCCCAGAACGTAGGTACTGTAAGAAGTTGTGAGGACTTGTCTCTGACCAAAGCTGACGATGATTCAAGTCCAAAGGCGCGGG